TAGCAAGACCCTGTCTCTACAAAAAATTTAAAAAATTAGCTGGGTCTATAGTGCCAGCTACTCAGGAGGCTGAGTCAGAAGGATCACCTGAGACCAGGAGTTCGAAGCTGTGGTGAGCCGTGATCTTGCCTTCAAGCCTGGGTCACAGAGTGAGACCCCAACTAGGGAGAGAGAGACAGGCAAAGCAACAGCACAGTCTAGTACATTTTCCACATACTATTCACAAAATTTTGGTGAGTTATCTTTCTAACTTGTCAAAGTTTATTTTATTGTAATACTTCAACTGTTAAAAATTTTAAAAACTCAAGAGAAGAAGGAAAATCCATTGTATTTAAGGACATTTTTACTCTTTTCGTTCTTCTTTCTTCTTCCTGATGTTCCAAGTCTCCTCCAATCATTTGTTTTATGTTTAGAGACAACTTTTTATTATTCATTTAGGAAGGTATGCCAGCAACAAATTATCTTAGCTTTCCTTCATCTGAGAATGACTTGATTTCCTCCTTTTTTCTAAAAGATGTTTTCATTGAATACAGAATTTTAAGTTGACAGTCCTTTTCTTTCAGCATTTGAACAATGTTGTGCCACCTCCTTCTGCCATCCATGGTTTTGGGCAAGAAATCTGTTGTCACTTGAATTATTTTTGTTCCTATAAGTAAGGTACCAGTTCTCGCTCACTGATACCAAGATTTTTTTCTTTGTCTTAGTTTTCATAAATTTGACTCTGCCTTGTCTCGGTGCCTATTGCTTTGGATTTATACTACTGTACCCTTTGGAGTTTCCCAGATTCTTGAATCCATGGGTTGGGGCTTTTGCCAAATTTGGGAAATTTTCAGGCACTATTTCTTCAAATGCTTTTGCAGACACATCCTCTTTCTCCCCTCCTTCCAGGACTCCTCCAGGGACAAACTGCCGGATTTTTTGTTACAGTCCCACAGGTCTCTGAAGTTCTAATCTTTTTTAAAAATTCTATCTTCTCTCTGTTGCTCAGATTGATCAATTTCTATTGTTCTATCTTCAAGTTTACTCACTGATTCTGTCCTCTCTATTCTGCTGTTGAGCTCATCCATTGAGATTTTTGTCTTATATTTTTCAGTTTTACAATTTCTGCTTGATTCTTCTTTATATCTTCTGTTTCTTTGGCGAGACTTACTATTTTTCATTCGTTTTAAGGGTGTCTGGAATTGCTCATTGAAGCATTTTTATGATGGCTGTTTTACAATCCCTGTCAAATAATAATGAGATGACAACTGTGTCATCTCAGTTTCAGTGTATCTTAACTGCCTTTTCTTATTCAAGTTGAGATTTCCCTAGCTGTTGGCAAGACAAGTAATTTTCAGTTGAAATCTGAACATTTTGGGTATCATGTCATAAGACTCTGAACTGTATTTAAATCTTTTGCTATAGCAAGCCTGCTTGACACCATCTCAGTGGGATGGGACTGGTCAACTCCTTACTGCCATTACTGCCAGGTAAGTCTCCCTACATGGTCTTCACTGATGTCACAAGGTGAGGGAAGCCTTGTTACCTATTCTCTGGTGGAGATGAAAGTCCTAGTTCTTTATTTGGTCTTCTCTGACCCTGGCAGAGGGGTTGGAACTCCTTACTGCATCCTCCTGGCTAGGACAGAAACTTAGGCTCTCAGACTTTGCTGGCACTTACAGGGGTGGGGCCACATTTCTGTGGTAATAGGCTGAAGTACAGCAGCAGTTGTCTGTAAGTTTTCTGTCTTATTAGGTTGTCCCATTCCTGGTCCTCAGGCTAGAGAGAACAGGTTTTTCTTGGGGCTTTTTTGGCTTGTGCCTTTTAGCATTTTCAGGTTGCCAATTTCTCCAACATCAAGTCAGGGATATATGAGACAAAAACAACAACAACAACAACAAAACCTTGGAGTTTATCACCATTCATTCCTTTGCCACAAAGTCCCTAGCCAGACTGCTGCCTTCTCTCTATCTTTTAGAGTTTTCTCATGTTTGCTTTATATATAATATCCGAAGTTTTTAACTGTAATTATCTAAAAAAAGGGTAAAGTACCCTTCATTTTGTTATAATTTAAAAAAAATTCCTCTTTTCATATGTTATTTCTAAGGCAGTTATCTACTGGGTTTATTTACTCTGTGTCTTTGCAGGTTTGTCTACACTTCTGATATTATTCCTGAATATTTTTAATTTTTTATTTCTGAATTTTTTCCAGTTCTGATCACATTGTTCCTTCATATCTTGTATCATTTTCTTATTGCATTTTAGCTTGTTTTGGAATATCGAGTTATAATTTTTATCAGTTTTATGAGCATATTTTTCTATTTTTAATGCTTTCATGTATGAAGAAGTTTGTTCTACTCCTTATTCTCTCTCTCTCTCTTTTTTTTTTTTTTTGGTAATAATTTTCTATAAAATTTGGTCTTGATTTTTTCTGTTGCTCAAACTTAAGTAAAATTACTTTTCCCTGAAGTTGTATAGGGGAGGTTTGGTATAGTATAGTTTTTTTCCCCCTACTTGCAAGCTAACAAGTTAAGCTTTTCTAATTTCTCAGCTCTAAAGTTCACTCTTCTGTTGTTGTAGCACAGTATTCAAATATATAGATGCCTATGTGTTGAGATCGTCTGGCTCTGTTCTCTCTCTCTTTTTTTTCTTTTTGAGTTGGAGTCTCACTCCGTCGCCCAGACTGGAGTGCAGTAGCACGCTCCCGGCCACCGCAGCCTCGACCCGCTGGGCTCTGGTGATCCTTCTGCCTCAGCCTTCCAAGTAGCCAGAATTACAGGAGCGTGCTCCCACGTCCAGCTAATTTTTTTTTATTTACTGTAGAGATGAGGTCTTGCCAAGTTGCCCAGGCAGGTCTTGAACCTGCGGGCTCAAGCAATCCACTCACCTTGACCTCCCAAAGCGCTGGGATTACAGGCTGAGCTACTGAGCCCAGCTCTGTTCTCTTCTGTTACTTGAACTTTCTTTTACTTTCTCTCTACTATACCTGTTCTGCTCAATATGAATTCTATTCCCAGCAGTTTCTCCCCAGTGTGAATCTTTCTCCTGTAAAGACATTTCTAGCCTGGCTTGGTGGTTCAGCCTGTAATCCCATGCTTTGGGAGGCTGAGGTGAGTGGATTGCCTGAGCCCACGGGTTCAAGACCCACCCAGGCAACTTGGCGAGACCTCACCGCTACAATAAATCAAAAAATTAGTCGGGCGTAGTGGCGCACGCCTATAATTCCAGCTACTTGGAAGGCTGAGGCGGAAGGATCGCCGGAGCCCAGCAGGTCGAGGCTGCGGTGGCCGAGAGCATCACACTGCACTCCAGTCTGGGTGATAGAGTGAGACTCTGACACAAAAAAAAAAAAAAAAAAGACATTTCTTTCTTTCTTTTTTTTTTGAGTCGGGATCTCACTCTGTCGCCCAGGCTGGAGTGCAGCAGCCACCACAGCCTTGACCTGCTGGGCTCAGTTAATCAATTCGCCTCAGTCTTCCAAGTAGCTGGAATTACAGGCGTGCACCACCACGCTCAGCTAATTTTTTTAAAAAAATTACTGTAGAGATGAGGTCTCGCCAAATTGCCCAGGCTGGTCTCAAACCCATGGGTTCAGGCAATCCTCTCACCTCCGCCTCCCAAAGTGCTGGGATTATTACAGGAGTGAGCCACTGTCCCCTGCCAAAGACATTACTATTGGTTCATTTTGAGAGTAAATAAAACACAGACTGCTCCTGCCCCTTCAGACTGTACTGTGGAATGCTTGAATATGCAAAACTATTTCCAGTTCCACCTACTGTTCTCAACTGGTTTGCTGAGCTTTTGAGTGAGTGTCTTCTAGCCATACTGGATCCTATCCTAACTTATCCTAGCCTATCTACTGGACTCTCTGCTTGCTACTTCCCTTTGCTCACTCCTACACAGATGTTGGTACCACACAAGTCTTATAGCTGTCAATGATTTAGCCTCACCCATTCATATAGTTTACCTTCTGATCAAGTTTTGTTATAGATGTTGCTCATGTGTTTTGTTTTGTTTTGTTTTTTTCCGCTGGCCTAGTTGTTCTGTGTGTTTCAGGACTATATTTGGGAGAACTCAGAAACTATGCTACCGCTGCCACATTCCCAGAATCCCTTAAAAATAGAGACTGGTTTTTGACAATCTTCATTAATAGAAGATGCATGGAAAAAATGTCCAAGTCACAAAATCAGTACGATTAACTGTTCATAAATTTCTTCTAAAAATCAATCTCCATAGCTACTTTCACTGTGACAATATATATCCTCCTTTCAAAATTAGCAGCATGGAATTAGCAAATAGACTTTGAACCCTGGGAAGTATTGGACAATGGCATAATTTCCACTAGCAAAATACAAATTCAAACCATTTGATCTATGGAACTATTAATTAAACTTAATAGCTAAAGGTAAATAATCCCCTATTTATATAGAACCTACTATACATATTAAAGCAAAATATCAGAGACTGTACCTAAAAAAAGATGAATTACTGCTTACTATGACAATAAATTCTTTGTGGCTCTCAATTTTGATTTTTAATTTTTTTTTTTTTGAGTTGGGGTCTCACTCTGTCACCCAGGTTGGAGTGCAGTGGCATGCTCGCTGCCACTGCAGCCTCGACCTGCTGGTCTCAGGCAATCCTTCCGCCTCAGCCTTCCAAGTAGCTGGAACTACAGGCACACACTACCACACCTGACTAATTTTTTTATTTATTATAGAGATGAGGTCTCATCATGTTGCCCAGGCTGGTCTCAAGCTCCTGGGCTCAGGCAATCCTCTCACCTCAGCTTCCCAAAGTGCTAGGATTACAGGCTAGAGCTACTGCACCTCGCCTGCTCTCAATGTTTAAAACTCAATGTATGTTAAGTCTGAAAGACTACTTCCAAAATATTAACAGGAACTTTCCTCAGGTAGTGGAATTATAGGCGATTTCTTTTCTTTTTGCTTATCTGTCTGTACTTTATAAATTTTCAAAGTGAAAACTAAGCTTCTTGCAAAAAAAAAATGTTTAAAACAACTTACGCTAGAACCATGTTGTAATCTGAGTGGTTGAACATATATCCACCAACAATCCACATTATATTTCCATTGATCACAGCTTTATGAGATGCTCTGGGGAGTTTTAAGTTAGAATATTCCTCTCGAGTCCAAAATGACTGGTTAGCTGGTACAGTAATTGAACATCCGGGACCTAATAAAACATAATAAATTAGCTTCACAAAATGCAGCTTTAAAACATTGCAATCCAAGTTTTAATCATCTAATGGTAACAAATATGAATTTAAGGAATTCTTAGTCTTTTCTAAATATCCAACAAATCCTTTTAATTTGTGATTTTAACTTACTCAAAGTATTGACCAAGAGTTATCCCTAGTAAAATTCAAAATCACATACTTTCTAATAATGACTTGACCACATCCAGGTTAGGTTTTTTTGGGTAATGAAATACTTGCATAAGCAGCTCTCAGGAGAAAGACCAGACAAAGAAATTAGTAATTCAAATGAAAAACTTTAGAGCTAAAATGTGCAACTGTCCCTCAGTTTCCACAGGGGGTTGGTTTCAAGACACCCTCAGACATCAAAATCCATAAATGCTCAAGTCCCTTATGCAACCGGTGTAGTGTTTGCATATAACCTATGTACATCCTTCCATACACTTTAAATCATCTCTAGATTACCTATAATACCCAATATCATATAAATGCTATGTAAATAGTTGCTATACTATAATGCTTTTCAATAGGTATTATTTTCTTTTTCCGAACATTTTCCATCCATGGTTGGTTTAATCTGTGGATATGGAACTTGTGGCTATGGGAGGTCAACTGTAATGTCTACACCTGGGAGTAATTACACAAACTATCCATCTTCTTGTAAGTCAAGAAACTTAAACAGATGCAAGAGACGGACTCTACTCTTGAGAAGTTTGGCTTCTACTGCAACAATTTTATGGTGGTAGATATTCAAAAATTTCAATGATTAACTCTTCAATGCCAGTCAAACCCGACAAACTAAGACATTTAAACAAACATATTTCCTTTTAAAATAAAAAAGGTTCTGAGGAAGCAGAAAGTGTATAAAGAAAATCACTAAATCAGTAACAGTTATTATCACAAACCCCTTAAGGAATTCCCCAAAGCTTCTTCAATCATCTATTTCTATAGGTAATGCTATGGGTTGACTCCTTTAGGATTCTAATGTTTAACTGACTCCAATTTTCTCTGAACTTAGAACACATTTCCGAGGAAATGCCATTACTGTCAGCTCTTGTCCCACCTCCCAGCTGGTTCTCTGCTATATTCTCTTATGGCTAAGACCAAGTTCTCCAACTTTCATGAAAAGGTTGCAAAGAATGTCCTGCCCCTCCACAATTCTAAAGAGAAAACAACTATACATGTGTGAAATTGAAAGATTGTGAAAAATCGGATAAAGGGATATGAAAGCTTAAATGCTACCTAATATTTACATAAAGTATATAGATGACAAGAATAAAGTCAATCTACAATTATTAAACTGGGAACATTCTGTAAATTAAAAGAAAAATCAAGATGAAAGAAGCTCCTACCCTGCCACTCTGAGAAGCAGGAGCATCCTCTGACATCACTTGAATTGCAGATGCCTCGATGAGGAAAACCACAGTTATTTGTACAGTGAGGAATGTCACAAGCTTCACCTTTCCAGTTTTCAGAACATTCACACTCAACAGCTTTGCTGCTGTTACTGATCTTACATTCTCCTCTGCCCAAGCAATTATTTGGACACATGTCAAAACTATAAAAACAGTGGGGAAAATTAAGTTAACACAAAGCAACACTTCAATTAATTTAGCAGAACTTCCTCCTCCACAGGTTTAAGAATCTCACTGTCTCCTCAATTTACTCACAAGCATAACTGCAGTACTTACAATTCAGCCCAAATGGGGTCACTCAACACTGCATAGCTAAGGCCTGAGGTACAGATGATGAAATCAAATCAACTCAGCTAGATTCTCATAAAGAGGGTAAGAATAAATAACTCATTAGAGTCAAAGAAATTATGAGGGAAGAGATTGTGCAAAATAGTCCAGATTTAGGTCCTCAAAGGTGGGATGACTATCTGATTCTTCTTGGTGGCCCACCAATGATGAGCATTACAGAATTGCTGGATTCATGCCTGTAAGCTTAGAGTAGCAAAGAACAAAACAAACTGCCAACAATACATTACCATTCTGATGGTACATATCCCTCATAGTCTCTGATAATTTGTAGAATTTAAGATTACTGTCCAGGTGGTGTATTTTAAATTCCTTAGTAATTTTATCTATTCATTTCAGATAGAAGAAGGAGAGCCAGTTTAACTTAATGTAAGAATTTAACCATGATGTGTCTCATAATAATGTAACTTAAGACAGCTCTATTGATAGCACTTTGAAATGAAATAATTCAGATTTTAAAAGGGAGGATAACTGGACAATCAAGACAGTTTAAAAGCATAGATTTCTGGCTGGGTACAGTGGCTCACGCCTGTAATCCCAGTACTTTGGGAGGCAGAGGCAAGAGGATTGCCTGAGCCTAGGGATTCGAGACCAGCCTGAGCAACTTGACGAGATCTTGTCTCTACAATAAATAAAAAAAATTAGCTAGGCGCAGTGGTACGTGCCTATAATTCCAGCTACTTGCAAGACTGAGGAGGATCATCTGAAGCCCAGTAAGTCAAGGCTGAGGTAGCCATGAGCGTGCCACTGCACTCCAGCCTGGGCGACAGAGTAAGACTCTTGATTCAAAAAAAAAGCATAGATTTCTTCTACTACTGAGTACATGACAACTATTAATATTGTTGAAGTATACTTAGCAACAACCCCCCCCATGCTTTTATCCATTAGCAGGAAAATGTCCCCTCTCCTCCAGCAGAAGCTCAACAACAGCAACACATGGGTTGAAACTATGGTTTCCCCAAGACTTACCTTGACAATCTACTTAACCTTTTCCCATCAGTTTCTTCAATCATAAAATGAGTAGAAAAACAGTGCCTACACTTGAGTTTTTAGGAGAACTTTAATTTTAAAAATTCATGCAAACTACCTAGCAAAATGCTTGGCACATTGTAAGCTAGTCATTATTACTGCTAAAAAAAATAATATTATAAAATCATAAATACTGGAATTAAATATATAAGTTACCTATAAGTGATATTAAATCCAGTCAAATTATAGGCAGCATCACTAAAAAAATGCAGCAGGGCAAAGCCTGATGTGGCAACAACCTCAGGGACAGTCTCGTTGCCATCTCTCTCAGGAACGATGAGGCCACTGAAATGAACATACACATCTTATAAAGGGAAGCACAATCACAGACATATCAAATTGTGGCAGATACAAATTAAAAACTGAAATTCATCCTTACAATTTTAAAAACTACATACAGGAAAGGGGCAAATTCCTGTGATAAATACATAGTGCTACTCTATTAGTTCCAGATCTGAGTTCTGAATCCTCTGAAGAACAGATCTAAATCTTTTGCTACGTTTCCTTTCATTCTGGGTTGTATTTCTAATGAGATTTGAAATCAATGGCCCTATTCTTTTTTTTAAAAAAAACACTTCTTTGAAAAATTGAGTATACCTTCATAATCAAAAGTAACAAATTCTGGGAGTTGATGAATGCCAAATATATACTATTGAGAGGCATAAAATATGTTTATACTAAGTACATTTATAATATACTTAGTATATTATATAAATATACTAAATATAAATATAAATAAAGAATATAAATATAAAAAAAAAAGCTAGATAAACAAACACCCATGACCCCAATATTATTAGCATTCTGATGCATTTTGTCTAACTGGTATCATTTGCATTTTATATTCTATTTAACAAATAATACTCCATAAGCAGTTCTTATATCACTAAAAGTTCCCTAGGTTCTCTCTAGGGCCTCCCTGAGATCCCAGCACATAATAGATTCTAAATCAGTATTTGTCAGGTGCCTGGTTAAGGAAAAAAATTACTGAGTCAAAGGGTCTAAATGATGGCTTTAAGCTTCTTAATCTATCACACCAACTTGCTCTTCAGAAGAGATATGCTTACTCGAAATCCTATCAATACAGAATGAAAGAATCTATGAAGGGAAACAGAGCAGGGGAAAATAATAGAAGGCGCTATTTTAGAAAGGGCAGTGAAGGAAGGCCTCGGGAAGTGGTGACATTTGATTGAAGGGTTCAAATGAAGGGTTCAATCATCACCAAGCATTCACCGATTATATACACCAGAAACCCCTGGAACGCAGAAGGGGTAAGTACTGGCAAGAGCAGGGCAATCTAAAACAGGTATGTCAAAGGCAACCTTCCCAGAAAATATACTGGCACAAGGAAGAACTGGTGGCCTCAGTCACAGGTGACAGACCTTGCACTCTCTTGTTATCCTAGCACAAAGTTCAGGAATAAAGAAACATGAACTCCAACCCTCACTCCACATGCCTGGGCGTGTCACTGATATCTCTGAGCCTCAGTTTCCTCAAGTGCACAGAGAGAAATCCTGTCTACATCACAGTATGTAGTAAGGATCAAACTGTTAAAGCATGCGGAATACTTAAACAGTGCCTCACACTAGTAGGTGGTCCAGAAGTAATGGCTGATGGTATTCTTTATGTGGTGAGGATACTTAAATGTGTAGGATGAATGATGCTACCAACTATAACTAGAAAGTGGATCAGCTTCCCCACCATTAGAAGGACTTCAGCATTCGCTTTCCTTCACTTCAAAAACTTGAAACTGTGACAGCTTTGGAGTGTGTTTATTTCTCCCAGTGTAAAAACAAAACAACTGCTTTGTGACAAAACTACAAACACAGCCTTACCTGGCATACAAAGGTAATGGAAAGTGTGTGGGTGAGGAAGAGATGCTGCAGACATGCTATTTAGTTGTCATCCTGAGCTGCCTCCCACCTCCCTGTCCCTCAATAGATCTGTAAGTGCAGGCACTGCTTAGGCTGCAGTCTTTGTTCAACTTGAGCAAATCAAGAACTGCCTGCCCTCCTATGCATTTGGAGACATCTTGAAGATCACCTACCAGCAACTTGGCCACACTTTTTTTTCAAAATAGTAAAAAACAAATCATCTCATATTAAACAATATGGCATTGGAACCAATTATTTTATTGTAATCGTATTTGGCTTATAACGAAATTTTGGACATTGAGGAACTCATTGTATAGGATATAAAAACCAAAATTTTATAGCCTATATTTTTGTAATGTGTGGTAACGTGAAACAGTCACCAACATGCATTTACAAGTTCATTAATATATGTTGTGCAAGGGTAATTTGTTTGATGTCTTCCACCTGGTGTTTTTCTATTCAAGCAGACAATGCAGTCTCATTTTCTTCCTCCCACATTAATAATATGTAACTTTTTGTCCAGTCTGTTGTTTGAAGATGATGTGGAAGGACATTCTCTTTCTATGTAATGCCAGTTGATTTTTTTTTTTACATATATCTCAGTACATATTCCATCTCTTTATTTGCTATTTCATGTAATTTGAATGGAAAAGTTAAAGGAAACATACATTTTTGAAAAATCTATGCTGGCATAAGTTTGTCCTGCATAATCTCTTTATGTTCCCTGAGAGGAGACATCCCAGTGTAAAGGGTTAAACACAGACCATCACTGTTCAGACCATTTTAAAAAATCACTGAACTAAGATATTTTCTAAACAGACTTGAAATTCAGCATCATTGTCCCAGGCAAACATGAGCGCTTTGAACAAACCTGTGGCATAATCTGACTTTACCAACTACACAGTGTAAACTTATTAGTAATCCTCAGTTTAACACACCTACCTCCTTGCAAAACTGTAAGGACAAGGGCAGAGAGATATGGGAAGTAAGGCAGATTCTTAAAGTCAGGCGTCAGAGCTGATGATGGAGCCAGGCAGGGTCTACACTTTTGACTGGTAAAAGATGGTCCAAGAATACGAGACAGGTACCTGTCCTGAACTAGCTTCTCTAAGCTCATGGTCTGACCATGGATGGCTTCAACTGAGTGGATAGACTAACTTCTGCTTTTGCAAAGGTTTCCCTCTATATCATCACAGTCTAACAACTGCCTTGTCAATATACAACTTTTTAAAAAAAGCTCTAAAAGAAATAATGTTCTTTTGAAGAATCTTCTCAGGGAAGAAAACCACTCTTCCTGCTCCATCACCACTACCACCTCTTCCCCTCCCTACCAGCAGATCCAGCAGAGTATCTGCTCCACAAAGGCGCACCGTACATGCATCTAGTGAACACACTACAGTCATAAAGATGCAGAGCTGGAAGAGTGGTAAAAATAAGACACTCCAGTGATTCTCACATGTGTCTCATAATGAAACTCAGTTAAATAAAGTTTATTCAGAATGTCAAAATAAAAAAGATAAATGTAATCCACCAGTTTGAAATCAAACTAAAGTTCATAGTTTGCAATACACCCAGAGAGAGAGAGTAGCCTGAATTAACACAGCACAACACCTCCATTTTTGGTTTTAGAAGCTGAGATCTAGAGCACCTGAATGACCTATTCAAGTTCACACAGAGACTTGTGCAGAACCACATTAAAAGTCACCATCTGAATCCTGCTTGGTTCTTTTTTTCTTTATTGATATTGGCCCTAGCTGAACTACCTCTGCCATCAGGCTCTCTTCACTCCAGACCCTTAGTATGTCACCACTGGGTTGATTCCTCTATCTAAAATTCTCCTACCCCAATAGCACTCCTCAGCAAACCATAATGTGGCAACACCCTTATGGCCTCAAATAGTGGTTTTCAAATTGTTCTGGATACCAGTATTTAAGGAGTCTTTAATTTCAGGTAAATTTCAATTTGTACATTTTTTCTCAGTATAGTTTTAGAAAATTATACTAAAATATGTCATATGTTAAACTGTAATACAATCAGTGCTTTAATTCATACTATCAGTTAATCAGCTTTTCCAGAGAAGCCTAAGGGTTCTCCTATCTGTGCATATACTTTGGCTTCTCTCACAAGTCACTGGTTAGAACAATTATAGCCTCCTACTTGTTTTGTTTTGCTGTTGGCGTGGAATTCGCATGTCTGCTCATCAAATACACAGTCCAGGTGAACCACAGAGTTATATACACCTGCCTGGCTCATGTTCCTACGATGGCTACTGATAAGCTGATTCATAGTGCCTGGCATATAACAGGGGCTCCATGAATTCTGATTAACACAAGTGAGTCCCCAAGTACTATCATGATAATGTACTTAGTTTTCATGCTTGTGTTAAAGTTTGGAGTGCTTCTTGCTATAACACAAGCTATATTTCAAATGCTGGCATAAAGATATACACACCAAGCCTGGGCAACTTGGCAAGACCTCTTAAAAAAAAAAAAAAGATATACACACCAACACATGGCCAATGCCATTTTAAATGCTTAGCATGGCCTATTCACCCTGCTCTTTAGGTCTGCACATGAAGCTTTAAAACCCCAAAAGGCCTTGGTTCTCAGTTCAAAGATATGTCAGAGAGATTTTTAGCCAAGGGGGGTGGAGAAATACATGGACACATCAGTCTCCTGATCTTCTGTCCTTTGGCTCCTCATATACTGTTTACTTTCTGTTATCTCCCTCACCCACATGGGACATCAACCAGGCTACCCCCACATGAGGAACATACAAAATATTTGTTGAACTGATTTCTTTCCAAAGTCAAGGGAGCAAACTGTTTGCAGGAAAGAAATCCAGAAAGCCAGCTGCAGCTGAAAAACTAACAACTATGGTTCCCTAAGGGAATATGCATTTTAGAAAAATATACTGTGATGTGCCACATAACGACATTTTGGTCAATAGACCACATATAAGATAGTGGTATTATAAGACAATAATACTATATCTTTACTGTGTCTTTCTATGTTTAGATATGTTTAGATACACAAATACTTACCACTTAGTTCCAGTTGCCTACAGTATTCAGTTCAGTAACATGCTGTAAAGGTTTATAGTCTAGAATCAACAGGCTACATCATATAGTTTAAGTAAGTAGTAGGCTATACCATCTAGTTTGTGTAAGTATGCCCCATGATATTTGCACAATAATAAAACTGCCTAATGATGCATTTCTCAGAATGTATCCCCATTTTAAATGAGGCATGACTGTATTTTTAAATTCTCTATCAAATAAAAGAAAGTCAAATAGAGTTTTGAAGTCTCATGTGGTCAAAAACATAACAAATAATACAGCTACCTTCTGTTAATAAAAACTAAAATACCAAAACGATTAAGAACACCCCATAGATCTGTTGTTAAACTGTTTTTGTTTAACTACGCATGTAGAATGTATTTACTGGGAAAAAAAAACACACACAACATATAACTGGTATGTTCCTCATTCTCTGCAGGTAACCACTGTTCATTTAATATGTATTCTGTCTAAAAGTTTCCTTATCCATAATAATCTATATAACTATATACACACACACAAACCATATTTGAATTCAACAAATAACTCCTAAAAACCTATGCAAAAGAAAACACACAAGAAACAAGAAGGATATGATTCTTGATTTAAATTTTTTACAGAAATAATATCATTCAATGTATTGCTCACCAAACATTTTGAAAATGTAAATTTTATCACCTCCATGCAGAACAGGTGAACTTAGTAGTACTATCCCAATTTACAGATCAGGAAACTTACAGAGAGGTGAAGTATTATACCCAGGAACTTACCTAGTAGCTACAGAAACCAAGTCAGGACTAACATACAATTGATAGGATTCAAGAACTAGTACTCTTCCCACAAAATACATGTGTAAAGTGGTAATAAAGGTAAAACCAGTAAGAATGCAATCCAGGAAATACATTAAGTTTAGAAATCAAATAATGATGAACCAGTACTCATATGAATGAACTTACCTAAAGGCAGCAACTAGTGGTGCATAAATTGAGTCCCCATCATAAACGTATAAGTGGTCCCAGCTACACTCTGTAGCAAAATGATTGAAACGAAGTCTCATTACTCTATTTGGCCTGAAAAAAAAAGTGATTTAGAATAAAGTAATCATCATAACTAGCGAACATTTGAGAATATAAAAATTTTTTTTAAAAAAAGAATTTATAAAGAGAAAATAAATTAATAACACACAAATAGTGTTCTTTCAATTGTCAAAGATTTATTTAATACTTATTATATGCAAGAGACCACTAAACATGCAATGGAAAGCAAAACAGATGTGTTCCATGATTCTTTGGGCCATACAGTCCATCCAGTGGCCATTCTTTAACAACTTTAGAACCAATCTACTAGCCCCTCCATTTCTGCACTTCCTTATTCAACTTAAGATTCCATACTACTTCACTTCACAAACACACCTGCCAATTCTCTAAACTTGTCTGCCCCTCTGCCTTTTCACGGCACTGACTAGCAGAAGCACTGGTCTACAAGAAACCAACTATCTGCTTTGACTAAGATTGAATCTAAAAAAGCCACTTCAATTCTGCCAGCAATCCTGCCACTAACTCTCTCCCTCTCCATAACTACTAATTCTCCATGACTATTTCAAACTATCCAGTCACATCTCCCTGCTTATGTATGCTCAGTACCCAGACAAAACTTCCCATTTTCCAAAATAGATAACCCTACCTACTTCTTCCATCTCTTGAATATATAACATCTTCTCATCTGAACTTTCCTATCCGCATTTAAATCTGCTTAAGTATCACATTTTTTTTTTTTGAGTTGGAGTCTCACTCTGTCACCCAGGCTGGAGTGCAGTGGCATGCTCACGGCCACCACAGCCTCAATCTGCTGGACTCAAGTTGGTTCTTCCGCCTCAGCCTTCCAAGTAGCTGGAACTACAGGTACGCGCTACCATGTTCAGTTTATTTTTAAAAATTTATTTTAGAGGCCGGGCTTGGTGGCTCAGTCTGTAATCCTAGCACTTTGGGAGGCCGAGGCGAGTGGATTGCCTGAACCTGCGGGTTCGAGACCCGCCGGGGCAACTTGGTGAGACCTCGTCTCTACAATAAATCAAAA